AAAATCTTTAAAAAAAAAAAAAAAAAAAAAGAAAAGACACCCAGTTGAAGTGCTAGTTCTGCCTTTTCGAAACTGATAACATTTTTTTTCTTTACTACTTACTGATTATCTACCATGTGCCAGACCTAGAAGATAAGCATTATCTCTATCATTAACGACAACCCTGAAAGACAGATATTCTTATCAATGTTTAATGGCTACAGGTATTAAGACTCAAAGAAGTTAGGTAATTGGCCCACAGTCATGCGTCCAGTAATTGTCAGTACTGGAACTCAAATCCAAATCTTTCTGACTCCAAACCCAATATACTTGATTTACTCTGTGCCAGAGTGCTTCCCAAGAAGTATTTATTTTCAGAAATGAGATGGTTCCAGGCCTTAAATAAGAACTATCTTCTTCAGTTTTTTCCTAGTTTAAATTTTTTCCCACATGTTTTATTTCATCTTGTATCTATGTCTCTCTTGTTTCTTTACTTTATTCTCAAGCTACAGGAGAAAGAAAACCAGCTGAAGTTCTCATTGTCGAGGGACAACAGTATGCTGTTGTTGGGTGAGTGACACATTTTTCTTTATTAGTTGAGTCAGTTATTTAAAACATAGGTCTTCTAATTCCTCCTTGATGTGAATTGGAAATTTTGGATTAACAATTGTAAATCCTACCAAGAATTTAAAGGAAATTTTATGGATTCCTTTTTATTTTCTATATTTTGTGATCTTCTGTATCCGTTAGGGACTATACTGGCTTAACAAAAAAGGGGTTGGTTGATATTTCTCATCTAACAAGAAATCTGGAGGTACATAATCCAAGGGTGGTGTAGTGGCTCCAAGATGTTATTAGTATCTCAAGCTCTTTCTGTCTTTTTTTCTGCAGCATTTTTAGTGTGTAGTGTATAGCATAGTAGTTGAAGTTGTGGGCTCTGGAGTCAGAATGCTTAGGTTTGAAGCTCAGGGTCTCTGTCACTCTTTGTGACCTTGGGCAAGTTACTCTATGTGCCTCAGTTCCCTGATCTGTAAAACAAAATGTGGAAAATAGTACTATACGTTGAATTATTGTGAAATTAAACAAATAATATAAAGCATTTAGCACAGTTCTAGCACCTAGTAAGAAGTTGATAGTTGTTGGTAGTTATTTCCATTGTCATCATTTGTCATTAAGTCTTTTTTTCTTTTTTTTGTGAGGAAGATCAGCCCTGAGCTAACATCTATTGCCAATCCTGCTCCTTTTTTTTTTCTTTTCCCCAAAGCCCCAGTAGATAGTTGTATGTCATAGTTGCACATCCTTCTAGTTGCTGTATGGGGGACGTGGCCTCAGCATGGCCGGAGAAGCGGTGCGTCGGTGCACGCCCGGGATCCAAACCCGGACCGCCAGTAGCGGAGTGCGCACACTTAACCGCTAAGCCACGGGGCCGGCCCTGTCATTAGGTCTTTTACTCTTTTACCAATAACAGTATTTCAAATTCAAGTTAACTAAGAAAAACATAAATTCCAGTGTTGTTTGTCTAGTACTACATGCCTTTTATTAAATGAGTAATTAAAATAATATCTTCATACTCTTTAATAGCACTTCATAGTTTAAGTATTTTCATATATATGATCTCATTTGATCTCTACAACCACGTTGTAAAATAGGCATTTCAGGGATTATTGTTTCCTTTCTACAGTTAAGAGAATTGAAGCTTAGAACATTAAATGGTTAATATAAATGACCCAAATGGAGCCAGAATTAGAATCAAGATCTAGTTCCCAATATCTAGACCAGAATTCTTTTTCCCTTTCTTCTTTGTTTCTTGTCACGGTATAAAACTTTTCCGAAATAGCCACCCCCTCCAGGAAGAATGGATGATCCTCTCCTTCTAACTCTGTGTGCCCCTGTCATGGCACTTTCTGCAGCATATTAGAATTATTTATATATATCTATCTCCCTAGTTAGACTGAGTTCCTCAAAGGTGGGAATCATGTCTTACCATTTTAATTTTTTTTGGCACCTCATAAGCACTCAAAAAGTATATATAGAATTGATGCTTTTTTCTCAATCTGTATTATCCAGAACTCTGAAGTACACCCGTTATAATAAACTAAAGCTTCCATTCTTTCTCCTCTGCAGTTCTTTTCTGTTTCTGGCAGAGCAGAGTCTTTTTCAACCTCCCTGTACTAATCTCATCCCTTTGATCTAATTATGCTTTCTCTCCTTTACCCATTATCTTGTTACTCTTCCCGTGCTTGATGGAAATGGTCCCCTCTGGCCATCTGGCTTTCTGACTCTTTAGGCAAAGAGACTACTGCCAAAAAACTGAACTCTCTGTTTAAAGGAGGAATATTATATCTTCTGAGAGAAGATTGCAAAAGATAAGCAATGGACTCCTGCCCAGTAAAGCAGACTCTAGGAGTATGCATCGAGAGTAATATATGGTCTGACAATTTTGCTGTTATAAAGGCTAGACACTATCTTTCTTGGATCACTACTTCCTGATATCCTTCAGGCTTTTGTAAAACATTATTTTCCATGGATCCCTCATTTCTGAGCATCTCATTGAACTTAGAGTTCTATAATGAACGGCTCTTTCCCCCTTAATTTCAATCTTAACATCCCAGTAGTGTCTCTTTTCAACTTATGACATGTCCTGCTAATGAGCTGATAACTTTCTCATCTTTGGAGAACCTTTTGTGACTTACCATTAAACTTCTAAGGAGATAGGTTGTTTTTAGAAGCCACAGTTTGTCTTTGGTCTCACTAAGAAAATCTGGACTAGGTTCCCTTTGTTAATCCAGCAGTTGTGACTGAGGACCTACTACATAATCAGAAACACTGGGTAGGCTTTTTATCAGTGTTTCTGAATTGGCCAAGAAATGGGATACCTGCCTTATTGAAGAGACTTACTTAATAAGAATGCCAGACAGAGAGTGGTGTGCCCATAGCATAAAATTTGAGGAGGAGCTCATTCTCAGTGTCATGCAAGTGCTGACCCTGCAATTGCACAACCTTGAAATTGAGTGCCTCCTTAATTTTGCACGCTAGGAATCTCTCTTGCCTCACCGTAGTCCCTGCTCTACTGCACTTGTAGGTAAAACACATAATTTAACAGTTACCAAGATCAGTATTGATTTTTATATGCTGAATCAGTTTGATTTTTCTTTTTTTGACTGCCTACTGGGTCATCTTTCTTTTCTTATAGAACTGTATTGCTGTTGATAAGAATTATCCTTGAATATTGCCAGTGTGTGGATAATATCCCATCTGTTACTACTGACATGCTTACTCGTCTGTCAGATTTGTTGAAGGTGTGTATGATTTCACTGTGTTATGGAAAAATAGTTGGAAGAAGTAATTCATTAGGTTGTGACTAAACTTCCAACTCTGACATTTCAAGGTTATCTTTAAGACATTAATTTTGTGACATTTGATTGTGGTTGAATCACAACATGTTACTGGAAGAAAGCCGCCTGCTTCCTTCTCACTCCGCATTTAGTGATTCCTCATTACACTCATAGAGTTGTTAATGACATTGGAGACAGGAGATGATTTGTTCGGTAGGTGCTGAACATGACTGAGGCCACTTAGGTCCAAAAACCTGGACTGGTTTCAAATGTGCATGGAAGGAATTCACTGAACTTTACAAAATTCATCTCACTAAGGTTAGAGATTTTTCTTAAATCATTCTTTCAGAACCATTGATGTAAAATGAAAATGTGATAATTTTATTCAGCCATTTCATATTAACAAATATTTTTAACTGCTAGCAGAAAGAAAAGGCTTTGTTTTCCTCATATGTCTAATCTATCAATTAATTCTGTCCCGAATTGAGTTGTCATATTTTAGTCCAGAAAGATTTTGTTGCCCTTTTGAAAATAGGACTGTCCAATAAGAATGACTGAAACTGAACTAGTTTTGTGAATGCAAATTAAAGATTAATTTCTGAACAATTGATTTTTAGAGTTTCTCAACTTTTTTCCTATCAGACAGTAAATATCATTTAGAAACACCCCTCCCCCCTTTTTTTGTTATTACATAAATAGATCCTAATTGCTCGTACTAGAAAATTCATTTGGTCCTTGAATGACAGGAAAGAGGAATATATTTTTAGGACTGTTAACACATTGCTAGCATATAAATAGTAGTTTTTAATAAATTGTTGTTGTTTTTCTCCTTCCTTTGTTAGTACTTCAATTCAAGAAGTTGCCAGTTAGTTCTTGGAGCTGGTGCACTGCAAGTTGTTGGACTAAAAACAATAACTACAAAAAATTTGGGTATGGATTCTTGCATTTAATTCACCTGCTGAGATGTTACAATGATGTTACTATACTCATTGTTTTTATTATACATGATGTTTTTGTGGCTCAAACCAAAGGCTCTAAAAGTAGCAAATGTGACTTCACTCTTTTATGTATTGCCATAATTGAAAAATTAACTTCTGTTATAAGGAATTTCCACTCTAACAAGTGTAAGTTATTTGGAAGTTTCACCACTGTAGAAAATGTTAAGATGTAATATGTATGAAGTACTTTGGGGTGAAAGGTATCTGAATGTCAGAAGAGAATCAGTTGTCCCATTACCTTCCTCATGCCAGTAATACAACTTGAGTCCGCTGGAAAAAGCAGTGTGTTCATTACATTGTTCAGTACCAAATGATTTTCTTAAACAAAATGAAATATGTTGCTTTCTGCCACTGTGTTCTTCATTTATGAAATAAACTGGAGTCTGTATAGAATTGACATTTTTTACTTAATTTGATTTGTAATTAAAGTCAACTAATATCCTTTTTTCTTTCTCCATAATATATCCACTATCTGGATCTTCAGCTCTTTCTTCACGCTGTTTGCAGTTAATTGTGCACTACATTCCTGTGATCCGGGCTCATTTTGAAGCTCGACTACAGCCTAAGCAATATAGCATGCTTAGGCATTTTGATCATATCACTAAGGTACTTTTCCATGTATTTTCTACTGGAGTTTCATAAATTTAATTCCTTAATTATTAAGTATTTTTTAGATGTGTTCCAGGGACTTTAAAATGTAATGTTATTTCTCATTACAGGACTACCATGACCACATAGCTGAAATATCAGCTAAGCTTGTAGCGATAATGGATAGCTTATTTGACAAGCTATTATCTAAGGTAATGATTTATGGAAATTATTGGGCTTTGCTTAAAAGCATTGTGACTTTTCATAGTTTTCTAACAAATCAAATTCTTCAGGGTTTAGGAAAAAACTCAATAAAATGTTCAGATTGCCCAAGTAGTTGATATTTGTCTCCTAAGGGGCTGGAGGGAGGGGAGGGAGATAATTTCAAGGATGATGGAAACCCTATACAAAAGTAATTTTGTATTAGCTGTTTTGACAAATATGTACCTTCTTCAAAACAGATTTTAGTTTGAAAGCCTTCCAGAGACAGAGAGAACAAAGATCAAAATAGAGAAAAAAGTAAATAAATTATTTGTGATAAAGTGTATTACTTTATTTTCCAAACTAAAAAGGCAGAGTCTGAGGTGCTCTATTATTTTCCTGGTAGATAATCAATTTCAATATTCGTTTCTTGATTGCTTCTCATTCCCAGTAAGTCATTAAAAGAAGCAGTGTTTTCCAAAGAATTCTCGATTACATTGGGAAGATATCTTTAAAGAATATCTCTTAGTCAGCCCCAGTCACTTTTGCCCTATCTCTCACTCTTTCCTTTCCCTAAGTTCTTCAACACGTCTTAGGGAGAAAGCAGAAATTTCATACCTTGAAAGTTTGAAAGTGCATCTAGTTTATACTTTTTGCCCAAGAGCATGTTTAGAGTAATCTTATAAAGCAAGGCACTTTGATATGCTTTTCCTCCTACTTGAATCCTTCAGATTCTGAGATGGCAAGAGCAGCAGGCACATAAAAATCATAAAAGGGCACGATAGAGCAGTGCCCATTCACACACATAGACATGTGCCTAAACCTTTGAAGATGACAGTGAGGAAGCAGTGCTTAGAAAATAAGATTGTGTTTGTTTAATAGTTTTCAAAATTTTTGGTCACAGGACTGCCTTTACACTCTTAAAAATAATTGAGGACCCCAAAGAGCTTTTGTTTATGCAAATTGCACTAATCAGTAAGTACCATATTAGAAATTAAAACTAAGAAAAATTTAAAACACAAGAATACACAAACACATTCCATTAGCTTCAGATTGATGACCTTGTCACAAGTCATCTAAAAACCCCCAATATTCAGTCATGAGAAAATGAGAATGAGAAAGAGAGTAACATCTTAGTATTACTGTGAAAATGGTTTTTACCTCACAGATTCCCTGAAAGAGTCTCTGACTCCCAGGTGTCCCCAGATCACACTTTGAGAACCTCTGGTGTAGTTGATAGATAAGATAGATATTTTATGCTTCTCTTTTAAGAAGCTCAAGGAATTTATAGTTATCTGCAAACATACCTATATTATGCCTGTTAAATTAGTTTCTAGTTTTTTATGGAGAAAAATTATTGTTGTTTAGAAATTCTCTGTTTTCTTCATGGTTGCCAAGTACAGGCTAAATTCAAAAGCACTTCTATTCCACCAGTTTCCTTTTTGATACATGGCATTCTTCTGTGTACCAGAAGTCAAAAATAACACATTGTGACTGCCCTCAAGTTTACCATCTAACATGGCAGAGGACTATAAACACTATCATCACCTAACAATGTAGAATAAGGTAAATGTTAAGTAGTAGAACTAGTAATACACTGTGGTATATAATGAAACAATACTGAGAAAGTGCCAGTGCTCTTAAAACCCTGACTTTTTTCTGTCATTTTGGTCATCCAGAGATTTTGAACAAGAATTGGGACGTGGCTAGACTTTTTCCTGTGACAACTCATTTTATTCTTTTTTTTTTTTTGGCAAAAAAAAATAAAGAGAATTATTTAATGAGCTTCCCATGTATTCATCACCTATATTTAACAGTCATTAATATTTTTCTTTTTTCTTTTTTTGGTGAGGAAGATTGGCCCTGAGCTAACATCTGTTGCCAATCTTACTCTTTCTGCTTGAGAAAGATTATCACTGAGATAACATCTCTGCCAATCTTCCCCCATTTTTGTATGTGGGATGCCGCCACAGCATAGGGCTTGACGAGTGGTGTGTAGGTCCACACCCGGGATCTGAACCTGCGAAACCCGGGCCGCCAAAGTGGAGCGTGTGAACTTAACCACTACACCACCAGGCCAGCCCCAATATTTTGCTTTTTTTGCTAAAATATTTTATAATAATTTTGAGGTATTATCATATTTTATCCCTAAATACTTCAGTGTGTATTTCTAGAAACTAAGGACACTTTGTTATATAATCACACTACCATATCACACCCAACAAAATTAACAATAATTCCTTAATATCATCTAATACCTACTCCTATTTGAAACTTACCAATTGTCCCAAAATGTCTTTTTATAATAACTTATTTGAACAAAGGCTTCTACATGGTCTATATATTGTATTTGATTATTGTCTCTTAAAAACTTTAAATACCCCCTCCTCATTTTTTTATGTCTTTTTCTTTTTTTTTAATGTCAAGAATCTGCCTAGACTTTTGCAACTTAGTGTTTTCTCTATTACCTTCCCCACTGATGAGTTCTCCTGTTACCCTGACAGGTGACATTCTCCCCTCCCTGTACTAACAAGTCTCTCCTTGCCACTCCCTGCCCTATTTGCTTTCATGGGTTGCCCAGGAGTTTGGCCCTGTTTTTAATTCATACCAAAATAGCAGACAGTGTTTAGTTTGGGTTAGACTGTCAGTTTTTAGCTTTTCATTTTCTTATCTGAAAATTAAATTTGAAGAAAGAAGGATAACACAGTAATATAACATAGGCTGATTCTAAGAAGCTAATAAATATGGTACCATTGCTTGGGTAGCATGAAACATGAACATCTAATTGCACTACTGGCTAGACTAATTTCCCAGCCACCATTCCTTCATTCATTCGTTTCAGTAAGTTAAATTGTGTTAGGTACCAGAATTACACAAGAGTGAAGAAGCCTTCGATCTTGTCCTCAAATAGTAAAATATCTAGTAGGAAAAGTTTATCAATAACTGTAACAGGAGGTAGACTATGTAAAGTATCATAAGTAAGGAATCGATTTAGTGCTATTGGAGCTTTTAATGCTTTGAAAGAGATGGTTGCCAGCTGGGGAGGGAAATCTGAGGAAGCTTTATAGATGAGTCATGCATATAAGTTTTGCTTTTAAAGATATGTACGATTAGAGCAAATGAAGTGAAGAGATACTCTGAAGTAACAGCATGAGCAGACATGTTGGTAGGAATCATAAGAAGGAAGTTTAGTGTCAGGGTTTTGGAATCAGGTATACCTAAGTCCAAATTCCATGTTTGTTGTTTATTAGCCATTGAAGCACCTTGGGCAAATTATTAATTTCCTTAAGCCTCAGTTTCTATTTCTAAATGGGAATAATAATAGAGCCTTATAAGGTTGTCATGAGGGTTAATGAGATTATATATGTGGAGTGCTTTTCTTTTATCATGTGTCTGACTGTAGCAGTATCCAGTAAATGTTGACTGCTAATGCTTTTGCTGCTGTTGTTAATAAGAACAAAGGTAAGTAATTCTATTTAGTTTATGTGTTAGTGTGGGTGAGCCAAGGAGTGGGAGATATGTTGGAAGATAGTGGAGAGCTTGGACTACCAGTGGAAAACTAAGCAGTTAAGTCAGGCTTATGTAGGTATAATTTACGTTCAGTAAAATACACTGTTTTAAGTATATAGTTTGATGACTTTAACAAATGTTACACAGTCGTGGAACTACGAAAATCAAGATATAGAACAGTGCCATCACTGTTAAACATTCTCTTGGGCACTTTTGCAGTCAGTCTTCTCCCCACATCCCAAAATCTTGACAACCACTGATCTGATTTTTGTCCATATACTTTTACCTTTTCCAGAATGTCCTATAAATGGAATTATACAGAATATAGCCTGTTGTCCCAGGCTCTTTTCATTTAGCATAATGCTTTTGAAATTCATGGATGTTCTAGCATGTGCTAGTGGTTTGTTCCTTTTTATTATAGAGTAATATCCATTGTATGGGTGAAGCACTATTTGTTTATCCATTCGTCAGTTGGTAGACCTTTGAGTTGTCTCCAGTTTTTGGCTGTTTTGAATAATGCTGATATAAACATTCGTGTGCACATCTTTCTGTAGGCGTGTGTTTTCATTTCTTTTGTGTAAATACCTTGGAATAGATTGATGGTTGTATAGAAATGTAAAACTTTATGATGACTTTATTAAAAACTGCCAAATTATTTTCCCAAGTGATTATACCATTTTGTCTTCCTACTTTGATGTATAAGAGTCCTAGCTATTCATCTTCACCAGTACTTTCTATTATCTGTCTGTTTTTCAATGTTAGTCCTCTAGAAGGTCTGTATGGAGTAATATCTCACCGTGGTTTTAATTTACATAATACTAATATGTTGAGCATCTTTTCATGTGTTAGTTTGCCATCGATATCTTCTCTTTGGTAAATTGTTCAAATTTTTTTCTCATTCTTAAAAATTGGGTTTTCTTATTGAGTTATAAAAGTTCTTTATATATCTTGGATACATACAAGTCGTTTATCAAATATGTGTTTTTTAAGTGTTTTCTCCCAGTCTGTGGCTTTTCATTTTCTTAACAGTGTCTTAGAAAGAGCAGTTTTTAATTTTGATGAACTCCATTTTATCATTTTTTTCTTTTATTTTTCATGATTCTTATGTCTAATCCTAAGAAATGTTTGTATAATCCAAGTTACAGAGATATTTTCCAGTATTTTCTTGCAGAAGTTTTATTGTTTTAGGGTTTTTTTTTTGGTGAGGAAGATTAGCCCTGAGCTAACATCTGTTGCCAATCCTGCTCTTTTTGCTGAAGAAGATTGGCCCAGAGCTAACATGCATGCCCATCTTCCTCTGCTTTATATGTGGGACGCCTGCCACAGCGTGGCTTGATTAGCAGTGCATAGGTCCGCGCCTGGCATCCGAACCTGCGAACCCCCGGCTGCCGAAGCAGAGCATGCAATCTTAACCACTACACTACCGGGCTGGCCCCTTGTTTTTAGGTTTTATATTTACAAGTCTATGATCCATTTCTAGTTGATTTTTGTATATAGAGCAAAGTATGAGTCAGTGTTAATTGTTTGGATAGTTCCAGCACCTTTTGTTGAAAAGACTATCGTTTTTCCATTGGCACCTTTGTAGAAAATCAGTCTACTGTTTTTGTGTGGCTCTGTTTTTGGACTCGATTCTGTTTCGTTGATCTATATGTCTGTCTTTACAGTGGTACCACACTGTCTTTACTATAGCATTATTATAAGTCTTAAAGTGAGGTAATGTGAGTCTTTGGTCTTGGAGCCTTCTCAGTGTTCCTGCTCCTCCTCCTATGGGAGCCAACCTTTGCTTTGATTGGTGTATAATCCTGGGCTTAAGGTGTTTTTCTCCCTTCTCTCAGGAGCAGCCATGTTTTGTTTCTACCCCTCACACAGGGGGCCCAGGGATGAAAAAGTTTGGTGCCCCTTCTCAGTGACTTAATGTTTTTGCTTTGTACAAGAGAAGGGTTTGCGGAAGTAGGTGGCATTTGCTCCTTTTCCCTGGGGGCAGCCAGTTTCTCCTGCTTGCCTGTGCTATGAGAGTGACTTCGTGGTTTCCTGCCCTGACCCTAGTGTTGCTTGCGAGTACCTCTTGGAGACCCATAGAGAGCTTGTGAGTGAGTGCGAACTCCTCTTATGGCTAGTGTTCTCACTTATTCTAAACATACATATTCTAAACATAGTCCACATTTGGCCTTGGGGAATTTGTTAGTTGTTTTCTTCTATGGTGTTCATCTCTTCTTCTTATACTCTGCCAAAGTGAGACAGTTCTTGTGTCCCATCTCTCCTCAGAGGGCCTTGTCACTCCTTGGAATTAGTTTCCTTGTCCCATGACCTCTGTTCTCTGATGGGTTCAAGAAAAGTTATGATTTTATAAATCTAGTGTTTTCTTGTGGTTTGGGTAGTAGTAACTTTCTCTGCAGCTTTCTAAGTTTTAAACGGAAGCAGAACCCAAAAGTTTTTAAACTAATGAATCACATGATTAAGATTGTAATTTTGAAGGATTAATCAGATAGTATGTAGAATGGATTTGAGGTGATATAGTATGTCCTCTATTTGGAATACTTTCATTTAATTTTCTTCCTTTGAAGACTCAGCAGCCCAGGTTTGCCACTCAGGAAGCCATCTTGGCTCTCACCTAAGTGTCCTTCACCTGTGTTCCTGTAGCATGCAATGTCCACTTTCTACAACACTAACCAGCTTTTAGACAGTCAGCTCCCCAAAGGGACTGTCTCTGATTCATCTTTGTACACTCCAACTAACACAATATCTGACACAATCAAGCATATACATAAACACACACACACACACACACATACACATGCATACCTGTGTACATATATATACATGTATGTGTACTTACATACATACACACATCCAAGAAAATATTTATTCAGAGCTTGCTATGTGCCAGGCAGTTTTATTAAATGTTTGTTGAATTAATATCTAGACTCCTTAAAATGCTATGACATTTTTTCAGCTGAGAAATATTGAAGACCTCACCTAGGGCAGTGTTCTCAACTGAGACAATTTTGTCCCCCAGAGGACGATCAGAAATGTTGGGAACATTTTTGGTTGTCACAGTTTGGGGAGTGGGATGATACTGGTAACTATCGAGTAGAGGCCAAGGCTGCTGCTGAACATCCTACAATACACAGGACAGCCCCCACACAAAGAATTATCTAGCCCAAAATGTCAGTAGTGTAGAGGTTGAGAAACTCTGACCTAGAGTGCTAACTAATGTGCAGAATAATTTGAAACTACATTTGTTGGGACTTCATCACTGATTCAACACAAGGAAACAAGGAAAAGGAGGAATAAAAACTGAGTAGGAGATTTCAAGTCTGTGTGACCAGAGGATTGTAATACTAGCAATAGTAATTGAAACAGGCAAGTGGAGGAAGTTTGGGAAAGCTCATGGTGAACTCAGTTATGGAGTGGAACATCTAGGAAATGCGTGACTTAAACTCAATAAAGTGGTTCAGGACTAGAGATATATTAGAAGTCCTGAGATTGAATGAGATTGATAAGAGAGAAAAGAGAAGATAAGTGGGGTTTAACGTTGAAGAAACTTTGCACTTAGGAGACACAAGACAGAAGAGAAGGTTAGCAGAGGAGGAACCAGGAAATCATTGTGCTACACAAGGATAATGTTTCAAGTGTGAGTGTGTGAGATACTGCAGAGCAATGAGGAAGGGGAGCTAGAAAAGTTACTAAATTTGGAAATTAAGATGTCTTTAATGATTTTTCTAGAGAGAAATGTCAGAAAATTGTTAATAGTGGGGGGAGGTGGTTTGGGTGGTGGCAAGAACCAAATTTTAAGGGCTGAGAATAAAGAAGTACAGTATCAAGTTTAGGTGACTGAAGAAATGTGATGGTGAAAATAAGATGGAAAGAATAGTATCTTTAGGGAAAGCAGCGGTGAAGGAAGGTTTTGGGGAGGTGTACCAGTTTCCTAGGGCTGCCATAAGAAATTGCTAGAGACTGAGTGGCTTAAAACAAATTTATTCTCTCATAGTTCTGGAGGTGAGAAGTCCTAAATCAAAGTGTCACCAGGCCGTGCTCCCACTGAAGGCTCTAGCGAAGAATCCTACCCTGCCTCTTTCTAGCTTCTGGTGCTTGCTGTCAGTCATTGGCATTAGTTGGCTTGTTAGACGCATCACTCTACTCTCTGTCTCTCTTCACATGGTCATCTTCCCTTTGTGTATCTCTGTGTCTAAATTTCCCTCTCCTTTCTTTTATAAAGATACCAGTCAGTAGATTTACGGCCCACTCGAATCCATTTTGACCTCATGAGGTTCCAAGTGGACATGAATTGAGGGGGATGCTATTCAACCCAGTACAGGGGGATAGTTAAAGGGATGTTACCATAATGACATACCCCTCATATCCACCAGGATGGCTAAAATAAAAAAGATGGACAATAACAAGTATTGGTGAGGATATGGAGAAATTGGAACCCTCATACACTGCTGGGTGGGATTGTGAAGTGGTACAGCCACTTTGGAAAACATTTTGGCATTTCCTCAATAGGTTAAACGTGGAGTTACTGTATGACCCAGTAATTCCACTTCTAGGTATATGCCCAAGAGAACTGAAAACATATGTCCACATAAAACCTTGTACGTGGATGTTCATAGCATTATTATTCATAATAGCCAAAGAGTGGAAATAACACAAATGTCTGTCAGTTGATGATAGGATAAACTATGGTATATTCATACAATGGAATATCATGCAGCCATAAAAAGGATGAAGTACTGACACATGCTACAACATGGATGAACCTTGAAAGCAATATGCTAAGTGAAAGAAGCCAATCACAAAAAGCTGCCTATTGTATGATTCCATTTATAGAGATTAGTGGTTGCCAGAGTCTGAGGGGAGGGGGAAATGGGGAGTGATTATTAATGGGTATGGGGTTTCTTTTGGGGTGATGAAAATGTTTGGAAATTAGTGGCAATTGTTGTATAACCATTGTATGAGTTTACTAAAACCAGTTAATTGTACACTTTAAAAGGGTGAATTTTATGGTATGTGAATTATATCTTAAAGCTGTTATTAATAAAAACGATAAGGGGATGTTTGATATATTTCTAGGCTGAAGAGAGGCAAACCCTTGTGTGGTCACAACTTTGCTTATCTTGGTCCAGTCACATGGTGACTTCTACATGGTTCTGCTACAGCCATGTACTGGAACTCATCATTTTAATAAACTGTATAACATTAGTACATTTAAAATATAGTTATTTAGCCCAAATTTGTCTTATAAATAAAAATGGTGTATAATTTAAGCTGTGAATTCTAAAATCTACGCCAAAAGATGATTATCTAAATCACACCAGTATATTATTCCAGATGTAAGAATAGTAAAGTGAATTTACCTAAGTTTAAATTTTCAGTATAAATCATTGCTGAAAAAGTCTTCCCTTACCTTAGTCAGGGTAAATATGATTACTATATTGGCCCACCTACAAAAGAAAAAGAACATTTTAATTCTACCAGAATTATATTGATTTCAGATATGCTCATGTTGATACATTCTTAAAATCATGTTTAAAAAATAATCTTTTAATTTGGAGAGCCTACTTGAATGATTCATCATTGTATTTTGAGCTAGATTAGTAGCTAACATTTTTTGATGCTAACATTTTTGATACAAAGCTTACTTTGTATCAAGCACTCTTTTATGTTCTTATGAGCCATCTTTTAAAATCTTTCCAGCAATCCCTTTGAGATATAGAGAAATGAAGTAACTTGTCCAACACCATATAGCTAAGAATTGGAAGAGCTAGGTTTTGAACCCAAGCAGTCCATTTTAAGAAGGGAGGCAGCCTATGTTCTTAGACATTAAGCTATGCTGGTTCTCTCAAAGTAGATTAGGATATTTAATGAAAAGTTCTTGAGATTTGTGCGAGTAGTACAGGTCACAGTTGAAGTGTAAGCTTGAGCACTGTATCAGAGTTAGATGTGTAGGGGCAGAAAACGTGTCTTACTGGGGACAATATGCAATCCAGAGGACATGAACATAATTCTCATTATTTTTCCCTGCCAGTATGAGGTGAAAGCTCCCGTTCCTTCTGCCTGTTTCAGGAATATTTGTAAGCAAATGGCAAAAATGCATGAAGCTATATTTGATCTCCTTCCAGAAGAACAAACACAAGTGAGTAGTAATTCTTAAAACTACTTTTTTATATATAACATATAATATGCATGCAGAATTGGAGTGTTTTTACATATCTTTGGCACAGTTAAGCTTAGTTCATATTCCAATGTGATTGTTATTGGTTTTTTTTGGTTATATTTACTTGTGGAACATGGATAAAAATTTCTGATTTCAAAGTGCCCCTTGTTCTGACAGGCCAGAGCAATAATAGCTTTGCTGTATAGTCAGCAATTCTAAAAGGAAGATTTTCCATTTGTCCGTTGAGTATCAGAGATCCCAGATTCTACTTACATCATTCATTACATTATTAGTTTGAAAATCGGAGTTGGCGTTTATCAATGAATAGTAAAATATGTTACTCACTGTGATTATAATCCAAATTGGATAGAAGAGGAGTTAGTAATGGAGTTAATGATGAGATGACAAAGTAACGTAATCAATATCCTCATTGTTAATATTTGTTAAATAGCATAAGTGATCTGTAGTAGGCACAAACTAGGAAAAATAGCAAAATGGTTAGTCTTTGGCACCTCTTGCCTACGAAGTATCCCCCCTCTGTCCCTATGGTCTTCCTCTACAATTATCACAGAGTTCTCTTCACTGCTCAGTGACACTTCTACCCCCTACTTCCCTCATCTCCCTCTCCTGGTACTTTAGAGGTGCCAGTATTCCTTTTTTTCCTGGTCTTCTTGACCCACCATAGCTTGTTCCATTTATACCAGGTGATCTCATTCAAGCCTAGTTGTAGAATGGTACAATGTTAAAATACAAGCCTAGCTGTTGTATGACTAATGAACTTAACTTTCACTGGGATTTTTGCTGTTCAGACAAGCTTGTTGTTTCAGATCGTCTCTAACTGGTTGAGTGCGTGGAAGTGGTCTTTGTGTCTCTTCGCGTCTCTTGCTAGTCTTGCTGCTGCTGGTCTCCTTTCCCATGCCACCTCAGACCTCCATCCTATGCCAGCTAGTACCGTTTTCCTTCATGCTTTCCTGGGTTTTCATTAACCATACTTACCTCGTGATTACATATCATCTAACTTATTTGGGGCTCACGGAGGACTGAGGAGGAGCCATAAGATATGGAGCATTGGGCTAGGGTCTCTTTTTTCTCTCGTTTCTTCCTAGCCACGCCATCCTTTTCATTCCACATGTAAGATCGCCCACCTCTGACATTCTGACTTTCGGAATTTGTCATCTGAGTTCTAATTCTAGAGCAAGGCTTAGCCAGCTGAGGGTGCTGGGCATACAGGTATTCCATGGGTTTTTATCTGCACCATAATTTAAAGGGACCTCTTGTCAAAGCTGGGCAAAAATTACAGATTTTGTGTGTATATAGTCACTAGAATACCAGTAATTCCACAAAACGTTTCCATAGATGACTGTATGTATTTTTCCCTTAGAAAATATATGTTATTCCACAAAATTGTTTCCATAGATTAATTGTATATAATTTCAGGTCAGGTATTTCCCAAAGAAGTATTGGGCCATTGCATTAAAAATCTGTATGCAGGAGCAATAAAATACATTCAAGTAATTTTACCAGTTGCCTCTACCATTGTGACTTTTTTGTTTTCTCTATCAAGTTCCTAGTTAATATATTGCAGAATTCTCTATGTCTTTTTATTCTTTTTACTTGTCACAGTTGATCCCACTTACATATCCCAGAGGAGTTCTTCTAAGGGGCAGAAAGATAGTGATAAGTCATACTAAAAGAAGTACTGCTGAAAGGAGGAAAAAGAGCTTTTATCCAACTAGGGAGAAAAGCTTTGCTGAAATAGCAATTAAATACTTTCAAAGGAGCATTTTTAAAGTATATATCAAAGCAAAGGTGTTTTTTTTTAATATTTTTTTGAAATGATTTGATATTGATAACTCAGATACTTATGTTTTCTATTTTAGTAGAGCTTTAAGAAACTTAGTTTTCTTTCTTTTCCAGATGTTATTTTTAAGAATTAATGCAAGTTATAAACTCCACTTGAAAAAGCAGTTATCTCACTTAAATGTGATAAATGATGGAGGACCTCAAAATGGGTATGTTTTCAACATATTTTTACTACATACTCCCATATCAAATTGTTTGATTGGTTTTTATTCATTATGCTGCCTTTTTTCCACTATAATAATACCAGGGACCAAAAATTGTAAAATCAGCAAACTTTTGCCTTGTTTCCTGTGTGGAGATGATATATGTCTATATCTGTCTGTCTGTCTAGTTATCTATCTAGGTTAGAGTGTTTTATAAATGGTCAATTACTTAACTGACCTTCTATGTCCATTTTGAGGCAGTGTGGGTTAGTAGCACCTCCTTAGGTTACCCAGTAGTCTTCCCCTATCCAGACAAGACTCAATGTCCTACTTTGTAGCTGTTTGACCATGAGCAAGTCACTTAACCTCTGTCCCTTATTTATAAAATGAGCAAGATAAAATCTGCCTTAATTCCCTCACAGTGTTTCAAAAAAATAAATACAAGTGTGTATATATAAGCCATTCAACAAATTTTATGTATTGTTGGTGAAACAGTGTAATATATAAGAGAAAACATAGGATTTGGAATCAGAAAACTTGGATCACATTCTGCCACTTAATAGCTGTGTATCTTTGGGCAAATCACTCACCCTCTCTGAGCCTTAATTTTCTTAGATTTGAAAATAGGAATGATGATAAAAAGTTGTCTCACAGGATTTTTGTGAAGAACAACATAGATAAAGATATGGGGAAAAGATTATACAAAATGCAAAGCATTGATCATGTAGTTATACCTTAATATGATTTTCTTAGTGTGTTACCTATTCCAAGGATTTTTAGGAATAAAATATTTTACTCCCTGTTAAAGGAGTTGCAGAATAATTTTCAAACTTATAGGAACAAATGAAAAAACATATTTTGGAGTTAGAAGTTGGCCCTGCCCTTAAAAAAAGTACACTGAACTGATTTTGCGAAAAACTGGTGGGAAGCTTCAGACTGCTGAATCTGTCGGCCAGGCTGAATTTAGGAGTTTTATGCAAAAATCTGATTCTCTTCCTTGATTATTACCTGGTTCTTCTTCTTTTTGTTTTTTTTTAAGAATTGTTATTTTCAAGAATTTCAAAGCTACAGAAAAGTTCAGATGAACACCAAATACTTCTCAGAGACTATTCAAAAAAAGCTAATATTTTTAAGCCCTACTCTACTCATACCCTTCTACTTTTATTCCCATAACAGAATCTGGGTTAGTTGGTTGGTTTTTCTGAAGCATCCAAGCTAATTCATTACGTGTTATTTTCTTTATTAATATAGCTATTTGGGGGTCAGTACAACCTTAAGACATCTTCACTGTCACATATTTTTAAAGACACTAATTCTGTGTAAGTCAGTTCATGTCTTTGAGTGATCCCTTGCAAGATAGAATTTCCTGAAAATTAACCTGTAGACTCTAGCCAAAGACATAACTACCTGCTTAAAAGGAATTTTTGTTCTTGAAACAGCTCTCAAAATATACCTTTTTTTTCAAGGTAAAATTCACATAATATAAAATTAACTGTTTTATAGTTAACAGTTCAGTGGCACTTAATGCATTCACAACTACCACGTCTGTGCAACCATCACCTCTGTCCACTTCCAAACATTTTTACTACCCCAAGAGGAAATCCCATACCCATTAAGCATTTGCTCCCTATTGGTCTTTCTCACTAGCCCTATACTTTTTCTTTTTAATGTGATTATCTTTTTCTCTAAGATATTTTTAAAATACAGAGACATATGGAGAATAATATTTATATTCCTGCTACTTAGAAATGCTCATTATTAACATTTGTCATTTTCACTTGAAAAAATGTTTATCATGTTAAAAAAAATGGCATTTTAAATGAAGTTGAAGTACCCTTTGACCCTCTCTCAAGTCCCATTCTCTCTTTCCTCCAACCCTTAGGCGCTATTTCTAGTAAATTTGGTCTATATCTTTTAAGTCCTTCTCATTTATTATCTCTATATCTGAAAAAAAGTAGTAGTTTTGTAAATTTAATTTATAATGGTATATTGTACATATGCTACTTTTTTCTCCTCAACATTGTTACTGATTTATCCACATTGACATATAGAAATTGTCCATTTTCTGACTGCTTTATTGTATTCTCCCACATGAATCAATCATATTTAATGTATTCGTTTCCCTTAGTGATAGATTTCTAAGTTGTTATTTTTTTCCATTACAATCATGCCACAGTGAAGATCTTTATACATGTCTAATGGTGTGACTGTTTCTTTAGGGTATGTACCAACAAGTGGATCAGAGCACATGTACATTTTCACTCTACTAGGTATTGCCAGAATCTTCTCCAAAGTGGCTGTACCAAGTTTATACTCCCACCATTTCTCCACATCTTGCCAACATTTGCTGTTAGATTTTTTGTTGCCAGTCTGATGGGAGACAATGGTATCTTGTTTTGATTTGCATTTCCTAATGTTTGTCATCTTTTAATATATTTATTTGTCATCCAGGTGTTCTCATCTGTGACTTTTCCTGTTCATATTCTTTGCCCGTTTTTCTCTTGGGTATTATATTTTTCTTGTTCATTTTAAGATTTTTGCATATGCCCTCAAACTGATCCTTTGTTGGTTATGTATGTTGCAAGTATCTGCTTTTCTTTTCTCTTTTTATCAAAATTTTTTGACTTTCATGTATAGACTTGTAACTTGTATAGGCTGTAAATAGTTGTATTTATTAAACACAACTATTGATAATATTTTTAAGTGTAGATTTAATTTCATGTTTAATTTGTAATGTGGGGACCTTGCCTTATAAAGGCTTTGTTCTTTTTTGAGCTGTTGCTGTCAGTTTCAGTGTACTTACTGACCATATTATCACAAGTATGATAATTTAGAATCTTTTTATAGATTTTAAAGCACCCTGAATTAGATGAGTTTCAAATGAAAAAATACGGTCCTTACTAAATTCTGCCATGTGATAAAAGGTGAAACATTAAGTACTTAAGTCCAAAGGTTATTTATAAATTAGACTATAGTACAGATATTAAGGGTGCTTACAACACCTTTGCCCCCATGTAGTTCAGCAATCCAGAACTTATGTTTCATTAAAATATTGAAGCTAGATTTCTTCTCTTTTACAAACTACTAAATCAAGGTCTCCTATTTGTTTCTCCATGGGCCACAATCAGTCCCTATTTCTTATGCATGGAGCTTTGATATTTCTGTTTTTCTGAGCGTTCTTTCCAGCAGTGTTCTTTCAGGTATAGGCATTAATGTGACAGCTCCATACTCAAAAGTGTAATTCTTTCCTTTTTCATCGAGTGTTGTTATATTGATTATCAGTATCAAGTTTCATATCCAGTAATCCTTACATGAGTCCCAGCCTTCATTAACTTCTTTGGATGACACTCAGGAAACCTTGTCTTTCTTTCCTTTGATTTCATTAGTCATATACATGTATAGTCTAGTCTAGTGACAACTGATCAAAAGAATAGTTTAGGGGCTGGCCTCGTGGCGTAGCGGTTAAGTGCACACGTTCCACTGCTGGCAGCCCGGGTTCAGATCCTGGGCGCGCACCGACGCACCGCTTGTCAAGCCATGCTGTGGCGCATCCCATATAAAGTAGAGGAAGATGGGCATGGATGTTAGCCCAGAGCCAGTCTTCCTCACACACACACACACAAAAAAATAGTTTAACCTGTTTTCTATTTTATTTCATGTGGTTTTAAGATAAATCTATTTTATTGGACAGAATTATGATACTGAGTCCAACCTGCATTGGTTTATTCTTTTTTAAAACATTTATTGTTGAAATAGAGCATTAAATGGTCTAACTTATATGATAGCAGGAGTCCTGCTAAGAGAAATATATTGACGTTTGGTCCCCAGGAAATCTGAATTTTAAATAATAGTCTAGCAGCTAGGATAGGACTCTATGTGAGCATTGCTACTTGAATTATCCAAATAGAAAGTGTGAGATTAAAAATAATTCTCTTTCCAATGTTTAGGTTGGTCACAGCAGATGTAGCTTTTTACACTGGAAATCTTCAAGCCTTAAAAGGCCTTAAAGATTTGGACCTAAATATGGCTGAGATCTGGGAACAGAAGAGGTGATGACATACTGGAAAACTGGGTAGTTCATCTGACCATGGCATGTGTATTTATGAAGAAAATATGGATGCCTGTGACTCAAGAACTGAACCTGGAACCCAAAGTGAACTGGGGTAGGGGGAAAGGGGAAAAGGAAAGTATCAGTGTTGGGAAACTGGGATTCAGTGGGATCTACAAAGGAATGCCATTTTTGTGCTTCCTTCAATGAGGAGTAACTGATCAGGTGTCTATAACACTTTTCATTCTCTCTGGAAACAGACTCAGGTTTCTTTGGACCAAATCCAAAAGAACACATAGCTGTAACACAGCTGTAGTTGACTAGAATGCTCTGTATACTTTATATTAAAAAATGCTTTGCATTTCTTCCAGTGCAATGAAATTCATATGGTGTCCCACCTTATTTAATGATGGTACAATTTAAAATATTAAAATCTTAGTCAATCTCTGTAGAAAGTTTTCTCTATGAAAGTAAAGCTGTTGAAAAATTATTTTTTTACAGATCTTTCTATAAAAAATAAACATCTTTTGATTGCTTGGATTTAGGAATTCGATTTTTGTTTTAGTGACCAATGTCAAGTTTCAGGCTTCGTGTGTTGCATATTTAATCTTTCTACCATCACTGTATGTCAACTGGGTCAAGCCTTCCAGAATAGTCTATATATTTGAAAGGCTGATCACAAGTAATAATTAGATACTGGCATTTATTTATGCAACTACTAATTTAAATACTTTTAAGAAGTGGTATATGAAAGGCTGCAGTTTAATAGCTGTATTTTTATAAAAGTATCTATGAAGGGTTTTTTTGCTTTTTTATTCTAGCAGAGGTAAGAATACATTTTCATATATTCTGCCTACTTATGAGTTCTCATTTTAACATTTAGATAACATAAGTATGGCCCCCTTAGTTTCTTGTTTCTAACTTACTTTCGATGTGTATGTGAACAAAGACCAGGGAGAAATAGAACTTTTAAAATGTAGGCTGCTGTGTTGGGGCCAGAAATATAAGGTGATGAGTAAGTTATTTAATGACTTTTATAACACCTACCTTCAAAATTAGAATCAGCAGCACTCTACAAATGAAAGTGCCTGTGCCTCACCTCACACCGGGAATCTTGCCTAACCCTGTCAGAGTGCCTAACCTTGTGGTGATGATGTACAATGAAATAGTCTTATTTTGTGCTCTTCAGTTTCCTAAAAGGAAAGCCTGTTTTCTTTATCATTATAGAGGTATGTCATTGGTTCTTAAACTGTCTGTCTAAAATAAAGCTGTAAAAAATTACCAGACTTTAAAAGACAACTTTTTTTAATAGTATACAGTAAACTTTAAATTAAACAAGCAGCCTACTCAAAAACAAGTATGGAAGAATTGGAAAATGTAATTGATTCTTAGAAAAAAGCCACAAATTAAACTACCAGCAGACTTGATTTAAAAGGATATTCATAAACATTTTTCAGTGACAATAAGCAAGCTTCAAGAAATGAAGCTTCAAGGAAAGGGAACTTTTTATAAAGTTATACGCCCACCCCACTATACTAGAGAACAAAGATGTGAAAGAAATGCCCTACCTCTACCCACCCCACCCCTTCAGCTGGGAAAAGAAACACCACTTTGTTTCAATAAATGGAGAGTCTGTGGAAAGCATGGCAGGCATCCCAGCTTTAGAACTAGATGAAAGGTACTAAATACCTTCAAATTTAATTCCTGTGGAAATAATGATGTGGTTAAGATTAAGATTCTTAGATTGCAAAACCTGGATTTGTTAGGTAACTGGCCAGTGAGTACTTAAATATTCCAAGAGCAAATCTTCCAACTGATTTAGTAACTGTTTAGCAAGAGTAAACCATTTTTCTTCACCATTTTATCAAGTTAGCATTGAAAAGTATGTGTACACATGTATTGCTTAACAGCTTTATTTTTGAAATCACAAGCAAGTCAAAGTGACCATCATTGAGGCCTCTGTTAAAAGATTTTCCAGCAGAGCTTGCCCCAGTTTTAAGATTAAACAATATTGCACTTTAAGATGAACTAACTTGTAGGATCCTCTTCAAAGAAGAAAGTATTGCTTCCATCTGTGCTTTTCTTAGACTAAAAGCATACTGCAGAAAACTCTATTTTAAAAATTAACACTGCAGGGTACAGTAACATAGTAAAGTACCTGCCTATTTTAGAATCCTAGAGTATATTTCATTGTAGGAAACTGTTTAGCCCATAATTGGTATAAAGTGTACACAGTATTTTTCATTTCAGTGGTCCAAGATACGAAGGTTCCCAGATACAATCTTGTTTTCTAATACTGCTCCAGGTGGGATGTCAATTCGGTCACCATGGTTTGCGATGATGATAACTGTTCCCTAAGTGACAAGGAAAACAAAAAGCAAGAGTATATTTACAACTGCAGCTGAAATGCAATTGATTTTCTTACAATTATCAAGTTTATGTAGAACTCTATTTACAATGCAGTAATCATATTATAAACAATATTAAACATGAAAAACAAATAACATGTTAAGGAAAACGGTTATGTGTCCTCCTGTAACAATCCTGGCAGTAGTTCTAGATTCCTTGCCTCCTTATCAGAGGTGGTACCAGGAGTGGGAAGTGGACCCAGTGCCACAGCACAACTGGCCCTTTCAAAGAACTACTTGCAAGGCCACCAGCATTATCTACCTTCATAAGGAAACTGAAAGGTGCTTGGTTTATATTTACATGTAGGTTTGGGTTTGTTTTTTAAAGAACAGTTTACTGATACATTTTTTGTATCTTAAGTGAGACTGTTTAGATGAAGCAGTATTGGCAATAAAGTTCTATTTATGTATATTTTTGTTTTTTCAAGATCTTCATTTAAACAGCTTCAATAGGAAGAACACATGAAATCTAGGTGTGAGATTTTTAAAAAATACTTGATTAGGAAAAAGCTGTTGGATCTTTGGTTCTAAGTTTTAATATTTATACCCATAATCCTTCCTATTTCTTATGCTAGACTAGAATGATACTCATCAAAGTACCCAAGTACCACAGTATTGTGAACGAATATCTTTATACTGATGACAACAGATTACTTTAACAGGAATAGATTATAGTCAGTATAAACGAAGTTGTCATTTTTTTCTACTTTCATTCAGATTCAAATAGTCATCTTTAGTGAGTTAATACTAATTTAACAGTGATTCTATTTTTAAAAGATTGTCATATTTCAACAAAATAGTACCAGTTCAATTATTTATTAGTGTTTGCTTTTCATTTGAATGGTATATTCCACAAAATTCCTATATACAACAATTATGATTGTATTTTTAACTATGTTGTATATCTATGGAAGACAGTATGACTACTAAACATTGTGGTAAGCTATTTCATTTTTTAAATGTATCTATATCTTATAAACATCTGGTACAGACTAAGAAGTATTCCTTTAAATAAAGGTAAATTTAGGACTAGAAAATGAAACCTGTTTTGTAAAGCTATAAGAACTGTAACTTTCATTGTAACAACACACCTTTAATGAAACATGCTTGCCAAATGTCACGTCTCCTGAAACTGTGAGGTGATCCAATTCAAGCATATCTGGTATACTTTCAAATCTCCTTAGATAATCCTGAACCTGAAGGAAAAATAGAAACATACAAATTCAAAAATGGGTTAACAGAAAAACAGGGATTAAATTAACAAGATAGTTTAACTGAACTGTAGAATCATTCTGCTTCTGGCCAAGCTCAGGCCCTCTATGGGAAGAGCCTATTTGTTAAGCACACACGATATGCTAGATCTTGTGCAAGAGAACCAAGCAATATGAACATTGTCCCTGCAATCAAGCAATTTACAATATAGCTGAGATCAGATATAAAAAATGAAATAAAAAATAAAAAGATAACCAACTAACATGCTAAGAGCCAGATGAGTAGTTCAGATAATCTGGAGTTCGTTGGCAAAAGAGATCATCATGGTTTGAACAAGCTAGATTGGAGCTGGGCTTTATGGGATGTGTAGGATTCAGAAGAAATGGAATATATTTCAGGAAGAGCAGTAGCACAAATTATCGTTATAAATAATCGCTATCTTTGCCTCATTTCTTTAGATTTACAGACACTAGAAATTGTCCTGTATGGCCTTGTTTCCTATTTTGCTGAGAAAAACAGAAGCAATCAGAAAACTTCCACTGGCTTCTACCTCTACTAGACACCACTACCACCACCACCCACTTGCCCCCTAGCCCATTACTCTGTCCCTCCTAGTACTGGGCTTGGACTGTTTCCACTCCATGTCAAGGCCAACGCTTCTTATGGCCTGTTCAAAGATATTGTCCTGTGATTCTTTCTTCCTTTTCAATGTTTTTTCCCTCTTGATTGTATCAGTTCCCATCAATGTATAAACATGCTATAAATTCTCCCATCTTTAAAAAACAAAACAACAAAACCTCTCAAATCTTATATTCCTTTTTATCTATGGCTCCATTTTTCTGTTTTTTTCTTTCAGGCAAAACTCTTTAATAAAAGTTATCTACATTCATTTCCCCAAGTTCTCTTCTCCTCTTCTCTTTTAAATCCATTCCAGTCAGGCTCCAAAACCTCTATACTGATAAAGCTAATGGTGAATTCTCATTCATCTTACTTGAATCGGCAGCAGCACTTGACACAGATTATCATGCCCTCTTTCTTGAAACATTTTCTTCATTTGGCTTTCAGGACACACATACTCAACGATTTTCTACCCAATTCCTCATCTGCAACTGCTCAGTCACCTTTGCTGCTTTCTCTACCTCATCCCCATCTGCTAAGCCTTGGAGTACCTCAGGGCTCAGTTCTTGGACACCGCCCTCGCCCCACCTCCCTAGGTGATCCTTATCTCATGGCTTTAACTACCAGCTATAAACTGACAACTCTCAAATTTACCTATCTCTTCTAGATCTCTCCTCTGAGCTCCAGACTCATACAACCAGCTTCTCCATTTGAAAGTCTAATAAGTACAGTATATCCAAAATTTAACTCCCCATCCTGCTCCCCATAAACCTGCTCTACCCAAGCCTTCCCCTATCTCAGTAAATGGCAGTTCCATGCTTCTAGTTGCACAGGCCAAAAACCGTGGAGTCGTCCTTCCTCTTTTCTCTCTTACCCTCCCATCTAGTCCAAGAGCAAATCATGTAGGTATACCTTTCAAAAATATCTCAGAATTTTTCACTATTTCCACTGCTACCAACCTGGTCTAAGCCACCGTTTCCTCTTGCCAGGATTCCTGCAACAGCCTATTCCCTGGCCTCCCTGATTCTACCCTTGCTCACCAGATCAGTCACTTCACCCCTCAGCTCATAACTCTCCAATGGCTTCTCATCCACCAGAAAAAAAAACCCATACTCTCAATATTCATTTACAAAGTTCTACACAATCTGGCCTGTTCCCTCTCTGACCATATATGCCCCCTCATCCCTCACTTGCCCACTCTGCTCCAGCCATATTGTGCTCTCTAATGTCCCCAAAACATATTCTTCCTCAGAGCAACTAGCCATTGCCCATTCAGCCCCTGTTCTCAAACTGGGGTGGCTAAAGTTCTTATCTCCTGCAGGGTACGGAAGAGCCTAGGAAGAGTGGGAGGGAATTGAAGGGGGGATGAGGCTAGGTGGAAAAATGGTTGGCAATCCCACCTCAGGATGTGGGAAGATGGTGGGTCCTTGTATTACACAAAAGAGGCACCAAAGAATGGGGAGACTCCTAAAATAACTAATGCTATCCTGGAAATTCCAGCCCACCTACAGGACCCAGAATCATCCCCCATCAATATATAAGACACTACGCACATCCACACCAGGTGGCACTAAACCACAACCAGGACTAGAATAGACTTGGATGGCATAGCAGGACTTTACAGGCCAGCCACAAAGGCTCACCCTGTCACTTCATTAACCTCACAACATTTTATGTGACTAAATTTTGTGGATTCCACTTATGTTAGGGTGGAGTTTTACTATACTTGCTATTCCCCCTGCCTGGAATGCTTTTTGCCCCAGATACCTGTATGCCACACTCACTCAACTTCTCAGTGAGGCCGTCTCTGGCCACCCAATGTAAAATTACACCATCACTAACCCACCCACACAGTCCCTATTCCTGCTTTATTTTTCTCCATAGCATTTTCCATCACCAGGCATACTATACATTCAATTTCTTTGCTTATTATCATCCTCACCCCACTAGAATATCCATGAAGGCAAGGATTTTAGTCTGTTTTATTTACTGCTAAAAACCTAGCACCTAGAACACTGCCCAGCACATGATAGGAGCTCAATAAATATTTGTTAAACCAGAATTAACGTACTGCCACTGATGAAAGCATTAATGGTCTTAGAAGAGACATAAGACAAAATGTCCCAAAATTTAAACATTCTTTTTTACTCTATAGCAATCAGGTTTTAAAAGTGAATTACATCTTTATCTTCTATGGTCAGTTCCCTTTAAAAGACATCAAAGATGGAGATTATAATAGGTCAGCAGCAGAGACTGTGTATCATCTTTATAATTACACATTTAAGAACTACAAATTCACATGCATGTCATATCTTTATAATTACGTACCTTTGTAAAAGAACTGCCTAATTTAACCAAGGGCACTGTAGGAAATTCCCTCTTTTCACTCATTGTCAAAGATCCTGCATTAAGGCTATAGAGGTTTGACATCACAAGCAAGAGATCTGACGTAGTTTTGACAGGCAGAAAACGGCTCCTAGGAACATTAATACCTAGAGAGTTCTCGAAACTTTTAATGGCAGCCCCTACGGCAGTTTCTAACTGAATAACGTTCAGGCCTCCATCCAAAGTCTGTAAGAAAGGGAGGGGGAAGAGAGAAACAGAGGTTTTAGCAACTTAGTTCTATATGGCCCAGTTAATATTTGGGGAGTGGTTTCAGAGATCCATTGAAGGAAACAGAATTTTGGAACTGGCATTTATCAAGCACCTACCATATGCCAGGTGTCTATACATATGTGATCTTTTTTCAGCATCATAACTCTTCTGTTCAGTAACATTTCCATTTTACGATAAAGAACTGAAGGTTCAGAAAACTCATGCAAGGTGCCTGTGGTCAAAAGGCCTATAAGTATCAGAGCAAGAAGTAAGACTGAGGTAGGTCCTCTACTTTTGGGCCCAGTGCTCTTGCCACTACCACAGCCTGGGGTCAAGTAAGGGCACGATGGCTTGGCACACTAAAGGGATGGGTACAGACTGAAAAGTAGGACCAGGAACTAGAGAGATTGACTAGGCAAAAAGGAGTGATCGACGGAATAGATGGGCCAGAGAGAGTGGGCAGTGGGTCTGTGTTATAGCCTACTATGATCTTAGGAACCAGGGAGCCCAATAGGCTGCAACTTTGGCTTACCTTTGGATTCACAATGATTTCCATGTCAATAGCATTCCGCTCCTGCAGTCTTTTAACTGCTGCAAGAGAGATCCATAGATTGTTTGTGTTAAATATTTTGAATTTTGATACAGACTTGAACTCATCAACGTGTGCTTTTGGCACTTGAGCTATTTCCACTAGTCTCAGTTTGCCTTCATACTGAGTAAGTGTCCCACCCTAGAAAGACAGAAAAGAGTGAGTGAGTGCCTCCATATCTCTCCCAGTCACAACCATACCACACTGTTTATCATCTGTGAATGTTACAGAAAAGACACTGATGATAAAATCCCCCAGAAATAAAAAGCATTGGCAGTGATTTGATCTGTGATAACAAAGCAACATACGTGTGAAGGTAGAACCAAAGAAAATAATTCAGGTTGTCTGTTGTTTTATACTATATACCCACCCTCTTGTCCATAATAAAAGCCCTGGGAGTACCTCAGAGTCTTCCTCACTTTCCGAAGGTCTGCTACAGGAAAAGCCATTCCTCTTATTCCCAAATCACTGTACGTCACTAAACAACCAGTCCTCCCATCTCAGAGCCTGCTCTGACTGGCTCTAGGATATGACTGGCTCTAGGATAAGGGGAGAAAAGGGAAGACAGAGGCACAAATGGACAAGAAGTGACCCCTGAGTGGCCTCAGCCTAAAGATATTCTTACAGTCATGAGGCAGTGACAGTGTGGGAAGAGGGAAACATTCACTCATATGTGAGGGGGACATTTGCAAGAGGCATAGAACATAACCCAGGGACTGACCATTTCAGTATTCACACACTGCCACTTTTCTTACTCCCTGTGGGTAAGTAGTAAAACCCTGTATACCATTTCATCAAAGGCCAAGTGTCATCACCACTAAACATGCCAAGTTAAAAAATAAATCTTTGCTTTGTGTCAAACTGCATTTTTTTGCTACTACAGAGATATTACAGTGATGAAATAAAAAAATATGAAGAAATAGTGTATGAATAGAAATAGTATATTTTCATTAAAGGAATAATGAAATAACACTTAAGCACCACACAAGAAGAGAATTAAAGGTTTGAACTTATTGAAAGTGTTTTCACATATGTTTCAGATTTAGCCTATAAATAAATGTGGAATTACTTTAAGTTAAAACTGCCTGTGTAGATTATTCAAAAAATAAAGATGATTTTAACACTGTTAAATCTGGATTTATATACACACTGTTATGTCAGGCAGCACTTAGGGTACTCTACAGAATAGTATCTCACTGTTATCAAGTGGATGTGTTCTGCTTAACACAGAAATTTTCCAATAAAAAAAAAGTTTGAAGTACATAACCTATGAAATGTGAATTCCCAAACTGCTTCCTCTTAGTATTTACCTTTACATCTGCACGTGTTTTGTTTGTGACTTCCATGACAAATTCGCAGGGTTTTCCATTGGGTGGGTTCATTAGATGATTAAGAATATAAAGATCCACTGTGGCACCCAAATTATCTATGTTCGACACAAAAATATACTCTTTGCCTTCTTCTATAAAGGTATCGAGCAAACCAGAGTTGTAGAAACTGGCGTAAATATCACCATGACCTGGAGGGTACCAAGCTTCTGTATTTTCCCCTGAGTACGATACATCCTTTGCTACAGGCAGTAAAGATTCTTTATTAATCCTTGGGTACCTTAAAAATAAAAAAGTTATTTTTCAATATCAACTCTGAAGAGCATTCCAGACCTTCAAGTAAAACAATGCACTTACATAAAATTTTCCTCCTTTTCAGACTTATCTATAGTAAGTAATTTAATCATAGGTGAATCCATTTAAGAAAATCTCATTATCTGTGTTGTCCAAATATCAGTTTCCTAGATAGTAATATTTGCTGCAAAAAAATGTTTTCCAGTCATACAGATGGGAGGATACCTCATATTTTTAAGATATTAATATGTTTTATGACTCTCCAAGAGGAGAGATATATATTGAGTAAATTTTCTCAAACTTACTTGGTTGTGGGATTGTTCTTTTCCTTGAAAATCTATTTGGGAAAAGCTGTCCATTTTTACAAACAAATATATCCCGGGGTGGTGCTCTTTCTTTCCCAGAACATCAACAGCAGGTTAGTGCTCAGGAATGTCTGCCTTCTACCACTAGTGAGAACATGTGTAGGGGCTGGCAGTGGGGGAAGAGGGAAACAGAGGAGCTAGCACTGTATCAGACTAAAGACTAACCAGAAAATAGAGGCAGAGCACCTGCAACATAAGAAAGTGTCCACGGAAAAATAGATTTAAAAAAAAGACAGCAGGGCCGGCTCCGTGGCTTAGCGGTTAAGTGCGCGCGCTCTGATGCTGGCGGCCCGGGTTCGGATCCCGGGAGCGCCCCGAGGCACCACTTCTCCGTCCAACGCGAGGCCGAGTCCCACGTACAGCAACTAGAAGGATGTGAACCTATGACGTACAACTATCTACTGGGGCTTTGGGGGGAAAAAACTGAATAAATAAAATCTTAAAAAAAAAAAAATATTTAAAAAAAAAAAAAAGACAGCTAATAGTACAACTTTAGAAATAACCCTTCTGTACAAGGTCACATAAACCCATATGTGTCCTTAAATGGAAGCCTTATTTCGCCAGTTGCCTGGGCTTTATCACACTTAATCATATGAATTCCTTTTTCCTTACTTTTCCTTCCCCAAAGTGGAAGATTTTCCCCAGAATTTATTAAATTTCCTCCAAGCCTATTCAAGATGTTGAAGAAATTCCTTCTCATAGGAAAGAATGTTATCAATATTGTGGAATACAGCAAGATTTTCATAGACCCACTTGGAGCCCAAATATGCCCTCAGAAAGCTAAGTTATCTAAGCTATCCTCAAATATTCTGGACCTAGAACAGAATCTCAAGCAGATTCTCTTTTAAGATTGGAAGTTACAGAACCACAGAGTGATGATAACAATCACATATCTATTAACAAATGTTCAGCCTTTAAAGGCATCACTTGCAAACATTAGTCCTTGGCACATGCACATCTTGAGGCTGCTCTGTTTAAACAAGACAAAGAAGTCCTTCTTTCCCAGGAGTAACAACCCCACCCCCCAGCCGCCAGAGTTAATTTTTTTACTCCTTTTACCTGCTTTGATTAAAAGTGTAGATTTTCACACGACAATGATTGTACTTCTGTAGTATTTTTTTTGTATCTTCATCCGTGTTAAAAGAGTTCATTAGAACAAGAGGAACATCTGTATTGTAGGATTTGTTCAAGTGCTAGGGAGGAAAATGACAAATTACTCAGACTTACTTTTCTTGTGCTTAAAAGTGTAAAATGAACTCTTAATGGTTAATCACAAAATGTCCAAAACATCATCTACATGTAGCCAAATACATAGATTTGAAATAATAACTACTTAGCATAAGCCAGACATTTTGCTAAGCAATTCACCACATACTTGCTCATTAAATCACAACCCTATGAGACAGAAACTATTGTCTGCATTTTACAGATGGCTAAAACTGAGGCCCAGAGAGGTGGCAGGTCAGCAGCAGAGCCGGGAGACCCCTCCCCACCACAGTCCACCTCTGGAGCTGTGTGTCCGGCCACAGTGCCCTGTGGCCTTACTGGATGGGCAAATGCTGACTACGCATTTACTGAGTCCAGAGCACTGGGGGGATGAAAGTACAAATGTTATGAAGATATGGCTCCCTATCCTAAGGATTAATGTCAAGAACTGTGAATCACACCCCAACTGAAATCTTTTCAATCTCTACGCAGAGCTAAGAGGCAACACAGAGTGGGAAGAAAACAGGATCTTAGAAGTCACACTGTCCTATGTTCAAAGTTTGACTGTGCACTTACTAACTAGCTAGGGAAACTTGGGCACGTAAATCAACCTCTCTGTGCCTTGGTTTCCTCATCTGTAAAATGGGGATGATAATAGTACTTATCTTACAGAATTGTTAAGAAGAACAAATGAGTCAATTCATGTAAAGAGCTGGGAATAATACTTGGTGTACTGTAACATTTATCCAACACTTAGAACCGTAAGTGTTGGATAAATGTTAGCCGCTGCTACTGCTAATGTTATTATCGTGGTTACCAGCACTGTATTAGAGATGAAAAAGATAGGTCCACTGCCCCTGAAGAGCTTATGGTCTATGATTAATGACTTTATTATAAGAGAGAAGCCAAGAACAGTTCTTAGCATCCATGGCATCCAACCAGATACATGAAATTCTCCCCAGCCACCCAAAAGGGGTTAATAAAGCCAGATCATCCCAGCTGTGACGAAGGCTGCCACTAGAAAGGGGGAGAAGGGTGGGGAGATCAAAGCAGAAACCGAATAGATCCAGAGATTTCAGCAACCACAAATGCTATTTAAAGATCAAAAGCTTTTACATCACCCTGAGGATTTGCCCTTAGGAACACCAAACCTTTTTATATATTAATAGAATAAAGATAGCAAGCTCCTTGACTAGCTCAAATTCACATAAGGTAACATTTGTAATAACCTAAAAACTAAAAACGATTTTAGTAGCTTATGAGAAAGGCTAAATGTTACTACTCACTTCAATTTGCTGAACGGTCAGATCCAGAAAGGTATTCTCATTCCTCACACCAATCAGACTTTTCGGGCCTTTGCAGCCCATGCTGGTTCCCAAACCGCCATTGAGTTTCACCACCACCAGCTTGTTCAGCACAGAAGATATATTATCAGGTAAGCCCCTGGCCTTTATCTTTTCATAAGGTTGAATCTGAAATTTTTAAAAAAATTATGAAAGTAATTCAAACAGCTTTATGAGAGGTTAAACCAAATCAATCCCAGGGTTACTTCCATGCATCCTTACAGAGTTTTGCTTTCTCTGTAGAAAGTTTCAGCTGCATTTCCTTTAATGTCACAGGCCCTTATGGTTCAAAATCAAGTACTTCTTGGCAACTCCTCTTGCACACAGAAGTAGTTCAGTAATTGATTTACATCACAATGATATTTGGCTGGCCTGTAGAACATCCAGGTCTCTTGAATTACCTTCAAAAACTCAGAATTCTCAATTTGTATCAGCACAGCAAATGGGATATCTAAAACTCTTCAAGTCTGTAAATATTTCTGGTGCACTTCAATTCTAGAGAAGTATTTATATATATATATATGATCACACATTATTCCTTCTTCCAAAGGAGGCAAAAACCAAAACCACAATGTTCCTTGCCATTTTCCTCCATTCAGTCCTAAGTCTGCCCTTCAGAGGAAGGTGGCATAGGGTTTTTGTCCTACTTCTAGGTATGTACAAGGATAGAATTCCTTCCTTAAGAATTTAACTTTCAGGCATCATTGTATAAAAGATCACATTGGAAAATTAAGTGTTCTCATTGCTCCAACAAATGTCCTGGTAGGGTGGGAATGGGTGAGAGAATCCCAGCTCGATCTTCTCTATACCCCCTCGTGTATTTCTGTGAGCGTAGAACCTTAATCTTCAACTTCTCCCTCATAGGAAAGGAACAATGACACAGTAGAAGCCCAAATTCTTTTGTTCAAAGCAGAGGCAAAAGCAAGTCTAAACATCTTATAGCAAGAATAATAGCTTTTAAAAAGATCACAATATATTTTCTATCCATTCATGGGACATTTTGTTGTTATCTTTCTTTAATGGAATAGGTCATCAAATGTGCTTTTCAGTTACATCATGGTGTAGGATAGATGACACTTGAGGGGACTGAAAAAATAAAACCACACAGTAAGTGCTCAGCAAACACTGAGCTATTTTTTATTTGTTCTGCTAGCTGTAGGTGTGTGTCATGGATGAAGTCTGTGATTGGGAAAGGAGGTGATAGGCTCACACTCTAGTGATTAGGCTGTGGAGGAAAAATCCCTTTATCCTTGGTCAGACAAGCATACATACATGTCACATGTAGATTCCTGACCACAAAATTCCTACTGTTAACAGCTCTTTCCACAAAAACTAGTCTGACTCTTATTTTCCTCTCCCCTGCAAGACACTATGAATACACTTTCTTGCTTGGTGTAAATACTAAGGAACACGGAGCACTCTTCTCCACGACTCTCTACTGGTTATCACCTCAGTTATCACTCCTGAATTATTTCCCAATGTGGTAGGATTGCGAATCTTCCTGGTAAGTGCCACTTAGCAGTCTTCAGCAGTCATTCAGATTCAAAAGGAGGGCTGGTGACAGAAAAAGACTGGAGGAGGGGACAGGCCTGTGGGCACCATGGCCCTCCAGTGGGTGCTACCTCAATACTGGATGCTAACCACCAAAGAAAAGGAGGACAGGGAGGTAAGAAAGAACACAGACCACGCTGGTTGCTTCCCTGGCAGCACTTGGTTCAGGTGAAGACAATGTATAGGTGATAACATCATGGATGCCCAACACACACACACACAAAGTGCCCATGGCCCAGTTGACCGACATGCTTTGAAGGATGTTTTAATTTGACTCTACTGCCATGAACATCATTGTTCAGCATTTCAAAGAAACTGGTAATACTGCGTGAGAGAAAAAGTCCAATGTTAAGTGCCACACTACCAGAAAAGTAAGAGTGGATGACAGAGCTGGAACCTTCTGTCACTCTCATATAACATGGTAGTGTATAATCCTTTCTAGCCCTGCTACTGAAATTAACCAGTCAGTAAAAGGAATGCCTCTCTGCTACAATGGCTTCAAGTAGTCTATTATTGGGTTGGGAGAATTTCTTGGGCACATTATATTTACTCAAAAGAGTTAGCAAATGGGACCAAGCCAAATATTTTCCAATTATCTTTTAAAAGCCAAGAGTTTCCATTTAGCTATTACTTTTGACTTCCCAGGAAAGAATCTGATATTTACAGAGGTCTCACAAGGGTGTGAAAATCAATTTAACTGAAAACCCGCAGTTCATTTTAGGTAAAATTGTTAGTTCAGAAATACTTTTATGCATTTAATGCTTCTTTGAATATACTTTTTAAAAAATAGAATACATAGAAGCAAAATTTTTTTTCTACCTATGGTGAGACAGGCCTATGTTTTCCAATTTCACCTAAAAAATATTCATTGTGAAACAACATACATACACAAAAGTTTATAAAATACATGTATACAGGTGAAAGAATAACCTAAATAAAAAAGAATACTGCCATAACTTAGAAGCCTCCGTGTGTCTGTCCGTGATCACATTCCTCTTCCATCCCTAGTGGTAACCACTATCTTGCCTTTTACTCTCTGTAGTTTTACCACTTATGTATGTATCTGTAATGATAATATTTTTACTTAATTTTATTCAATAAATTGAATCATTGAATATAAAGTATCCTCTTGACTTGCTTCTTTAATTCATGTTGTGTTTTAAGAACAATTCACATAAATGCATGTAGCTATAGTACATTCTCTTCACTACAGTATTCAATTTGTATATCCACTAAAAGAAAGCAAGCTGTCAATATTCACAGATGATATGATTTTATATGTAGAAAATCTAAACACCCTACAAATTATTAGAATAAAGTGAGCATAGCAACATTGAAGATACATGGTCAGTATTTTAAAAAAGACTACTTTTAGGGGGCCGGCCTGGTGGCATAGTGGTTAAGTGCACGTGTTCTGCTGTGGCGGCCCGGAGTTTGCAGGTTCGGATCCCGGGCGCACACCGACACACAGCTTGTCAAACCATGATGTGGCAGCGTCCCATATAAAGTAGAGGAAGATGGGCACGGATGTTAGCCCAGGGCCAGTGTTCCTCGGCAAAAAGAGGAGGATTGGTATCAGATGTTAGCTCAGGGCTGATTTTCCTCACACACACACAAAAAAGACTACTTTTGGAACCTTGTGCACTGTCGGTGGGAATCTAAGTGGTGTGGCTGTTAAGGAAAAAAATATGATAGTTCCTTGGGCCGGCCCCGTGGCTTAGCAGTTAAGTGCACGCGCTCTGCTGCTGGCAGCCCGGGTTCGGATCCCAGGCGCGCACTGACGCACCGCTTCTCCAGCCATGCTGAGGCCGCGTCCCACATACAGCAACTAGAAGGATGTGCAGCTATGACATACAACTATCTACTGGGGCTTTGGGGGAAAAAAAAAAAAAAAAAAAAAAAAAAAAAAAGATGGTTCCTAAAAAACTTAAAAGTAGAATTATCATATGATCCAGCAATTCCACTTCTGGGTATTTACCCCAAAGAACTAAAAGAAGTCTCCAAGAGATGTTTGTATACTCACCTTCAATAGCAGCATTATTCACAATAGCCTAAAAAGTGGAAGTAACTCAAATGTCCATCAATAGATGAATGGATAAAGCAAAATGTGATATACATATACAATGGAATATTACTCAGCCTTAAAAAGGAAGGAAATTCTGACATATGCTACAACATGGATGAACCTTGAGGACATTATATTAAGTGAAATAAGCCAGTCACAAAAAGACAAATACATGTATGATTCTACTTATATGAGGCACCTAGAGTAGTCAGATAGAAAGTAGAAGAGTGGTTACCAGAGGTTGGGGGTAGGCTGAAATGGGGAGTTATTGTTTAACGGGTATAGTTTTAGTTTTGTAAGATCAAAGAGTTCTGGGGATTGATTGCACAACAACGTGAATGTACTTAACACTACTGAATTGTATGCTTAAAAATGTTTAAAGATGGTTAAAAAAAAGATTAACATTTTTATATATAAAGAATTAGAAAATAAAATTGATTAAAAAGTTATTTTTATAATACTATCAAAAATAGCAAATATCTAGGAATAAATCTAACAAAAGATATGCAAAATTTCCACATGGAACACTATAAAACATTTTTGAGAAAAATTAAAAGATTTATTTAAAATTCAGGGAGAGTCATCATGTTTATAAATTAGAAGACTTACTAATATAAAGATGTCAATTTTCCCCAAACTGATCAAGACAATCCTAATCAAAATCCCAAGAGTTTTTTGTGTGGAAACTGACAAGCCAATTTAAAGTGTGTATGACAACGCAAAGGGCCAAGAATAGCCAACGCACTCTCAAAGAAAACCAATAAGTTGGGAGAACCAGCTTTGTAACATTTCTTTTTTAATTGTAGTAAATATGCATAGCATAAAATTTGCCATCTTAACCACTTTTAAGTGTACGGCTCTGTAGTATTAAGTAAATTCACATTGCTGTGCAACCAATCTCCAGAACTCTTTTCATCTTGCAAAACTGAAACTATACTTATTAAAAAACAAGTCCCCATGGGCCGGCCCAGTGGCGCAGGCGGTTAAGTGCGCGTGCTCCACTGCGGTGGCCCAGGGTTCACCAGTTCAGATCCCGGGCGCGCACCAAGGCACCGCTTGTCAAGCCATGCTGTGGCGGCGTCCCATGTAAAGTGGAGAAAAATGGGCATGGATGTTAGCCCAGGGCCAGTCTTCCTCAGCAAAAAGAGGAGGATTGGCAGATGTTAGCTCAGGGCCGATCTTCCTCACAAAAAAAAAAAAAAACAAGTCCCCATTCCCTTCTCCACCTATCCCCTGGCAATCATCCTTCTACCTGGTCTCTGTGGGTTTGAATACTCTAGGTACACAAGTGAAATCACACAGTATTTGTCTTTTTGTGACTGACTTATTTCACTTAGCATAATATCCTCAAGATTCATTTAACATTCTTTTTTTAAAGTGGCTTATATGTTTGAGGATATTCCAAATTAATGTAGGTTCTTCCAGAGAAAGGTCCATATTTAGTAAAGTTTATTTGTGTGTATACAATATATCTGGGAGAAGGAGGATTGATACAATGGACTGGAGTACAGGT